GAAAAATGCATGTTTGCTTCAGCGACAATCCCACCATAAAATCTTGCGTTGTTTTGACATCCACGTCTGCCTGTGATTAAATGGCTCTTATGACCGTCGGACCGAGTGGTAGCAGGTCATAATTGTGGGCATAAATACCATAAGACGGGTTCGAATGCCGTTTGAGTTGCTAACGAGACCTATTTAGGCGAGATGGAAACTACATTCGAGCATTCATACTTTTCTGTTCTAGGTTGGGCAAAATTGGTTATTTTAATCGTGTGTAGTAAAAGTTTTTAATAATAAGTTTTGTGTATTTATTGAATATCCTTTTTGCCTTACTTAAGTGTTTGGGTTGGACATCGAAACGAGACTGACCAAAATAGAGGCCATGACACCTTAACCTTCATGTCTACCCTTAAATTACGGCAGTAAGATTGCCAAACAATGTACTGAATACAGCCGGACAAAGAAGACAATTGCTGAGAAAAATCATGCTATCTGAACTTTTTACACTTTTGTAAACGTTGTGGTATCACTCCTGGCTTTTGTATCTTGAAAAGTAACTACCATTAAGAGGGAATTAATAAAATTCTTTATCAGGCTCCCTTTCAAAAGTTAGACTAAATATTTATTATAGAGGGGAATAAGCGTAATATAGTCAGGATTCTGACTGTGGAGGATTTTCACAAACTACAGAATATGGCCGACAAGAAATCACATAGGATCTCTGACTTAATAACAACAAGACATGACATAAAATTGTTTAGCTATGGAATTATAAGATAACATCTACTGATCAGTACGACAGGTGGAATAAGATAGTAAATTTATCCTCACTTTGTCTTGATCCTGAAATGACTACGATCCTTAACATAGGAATAAAAGTTTCTCTTCAAAACGGCACAGCTCTTCTAGAAGACATTCTGGTTGAGGTCATCAGTATCTCCGACAAGTTAACTGAGGAGACAAAACGGGAAATATAGATGGAAATAATCCTCATAATCTTGCAACTTTAAGAACAAACGATTTACCAAAGAGGAGCGCCAGTTGTAATGGAGAGAAAAAAATAGACCAGGAAAATGGAATGTATCCTGCAAGACAGTATCACATATCATTTGCTAGACAAGGGACGAACTATGAAAATAAATGAAAGCTCACGTGACATGCTAAAAGATCTGCATAGGAACTGGAAGACAAATTCACAACAGTCTACGGGTTACCAAAGTTGCATACAGAAACAAATCACTACTTATATTCTTTATGAGTAGGATACAAAATTATCCTAAATTCACATTTTTCCATTTTTCTGTTCATGAATAAGGATTTCGAGACATGTTTTATTTCGTAACTACCCAATCATCAGTCTTTTAACTCACCTTAATTCACTCTTATTTAAGTAATATCGATCGTGTTTAAGCCTACTTATAATGCATACAAGTAGCAACTACATGTTTGCATTTTCGTCAACTATACTAAAAATGTGGGTTTCTATAAAAGTGAAATTCAGCATCTACTCATAATGCATATAAGTAACTTGGTTTATTTTAACGGCGAATTCAAGTCTGTTTCAGGCTAACTCTCATCTTCAATGGTACCGTGACTGTGTCACAATGCTCACTGGACCGATGTCTAATTCAGTTGGTGCGAACATTCCAGTCCACTTTTGTGGAGAAATGTATCAGTTAAACTGGAGCCATCTTTCAACATGTACCTCGTGGACCGAAACATGTGAGCCAGTTCCTCGGAGACTGCTCGTTTCTGCGATGGAATGAATGCTACTTTTTCTACGTGAATGCGATAGGGCCAGCCTCATTTGTGCGTGAAGTGACCTACTAAAAGTATTCTTCCGTCGAGGAGTGCAATTGTTCGCGCAGTTGCGTTAGATTTCCCGTCAGATTGTGGAACTTCAGGCCTTTGGAGAGCAGGAGACTTCGTGTCTCGTTGCCGACATCGCCGCCCGAGCCCTGGAGGCTGGCCAGGTTGCCCAGAGTTATCTGCTCCTGGAAGCTGATGCAACGCTGAGTGTTCCACCAGTTGCCGCAGGTGGCCCACGGCAGACTCGGTCGCATCGCGTCGAAGAGGTAGAACAACGCCCAGGCCATGATGGTGTTGTAGTACCAGGCGGTGTAGCTGGCGATCACGCAAATGCCGAAACCGATGCCTGAAATGGACGGAAAAGATAACGAATGTTTTGGTGACCAACTCGGTCGGGTGAGGCGAGCGTCATTTTGCTGTGAAAAATAATGTAAACCGATGCAGTTGAGG